TGGGAAAATTTGCTTCAGGTTGCGAACAAATCGGGTTGCGACCAGAGTCACGGAATGGATTAAATTCGTAACCTGAGGTACACTGTATTTCTATCTTCTTATTGTACTTTTTATGCCCCAGAAAGAGACCCATTTAGTTAACAAATAGCATTTTTCAAAAAGACAGGCTGCAGACTTACTTTTGAAGTTTCTCAGTGGTCTCTTGCAAAGCATCTGAAGCTTGCTGAAACTTTAATTCTGTGTTTGTTCTCTCCGCTGCCATTTGCTGGAGCTGGGTCTCCAGCTCCTCATTTTGAAGAAGCAGCATGGAGACAACATCATCTCTGTTTTTCAAAGCTTTTTCATACGTTATAAGTGTGGAGTTGAATTGATCCTTAAGACTTGCTTCTTGGGATAGAGCTTGATGCAAACTGGTGAAACAAAAAATATGTATGTCAGTGGTGACCAATACAATTAACAATGTTAATTTTAAATATAGCATCTAAGTGACATGAATGCATGCACATACTCATCCATTCATGACCATTAAGTACATTCAGCGACATAAGAAAATCTGTTATGTCACTCATGATAGTTTTACAATACATTTAAATGAATATAGAGCTGATTCAGCAGCTTAATTCTTTGGAGCCTTTTGACTGTTTTTCTTTACATGAATCTGTAAGTAGAAGCAAATATTATTCAGGAGTTTCTCTGTCTTTACAGGTACAAGTTGCTTCTGATTTGTACAATAAATCCCAAATCTCTTACCTTTGTCAACACAAGAATTCTTTCTCAGAGAGAAACTCCAGTGAAAATGCAAGTGAATATCTTTAAGATATGATATAGATATATAGATACTGCAGAAATTCTTTATTTCTGAGAAGCAACTTCACAGAGTACATCTGAATGAAAAAAAGAGTAGCAACTTCAGAATAAGCCAGTTCATACTGTAATCAGGCTCCTGTATACGTATGCCTACCTTCCACATGGAAGTTGTCACCGGATACAAAGTCATCTTTACTGAGCAGAACAGTGTAGATCTAAGTTTAGGGATCTGCACTCATAGGAGCAGGATGTGAACCCGAAGCTATGTTTTATGATTTCTGCCTGTCTTATCTTCAGGGGATGTAGCCAAGTCAGCTTCAGCTTCCTTCAGGAATAAGAAGCCCACAGCCCATATGCATCCTCATCTAGCAGCAGTTGTTGCCACCAACAGTCCAATAAGCAGTTTTTAGTTGACTCCTGGAGTTGTCATGTTGTCATGTTGAAAACCTGATAATCAATGGATTGACAGATGGCTGGAAGCCAGAAGAGACATCAGGTAGGGCAGTGTTGTCCACACTTGGCCCCTTTAAGATGAGTGGACTTCAACTCCCAGAATTCCCCCCCCCCCCCACCCCCCCTCGGGGGGGTTTTGGGGGGTGGTGAGGCCTCTCTTCAAACGGGCACAGCGGTGACACAGTCGGAGAGGGAGTACAAAACTT